CAGCAGGTCTGAAAATCAAGTCTTTGAAATGTAAAGGTAGGAAAGACTTGCAGGTCTTCCTAGCTAAAGGCAAGCTTTGCAGAGACAGGTCCCTGTAAGGTTGTTGCATTGCTCAGCACTAGAGATCAGTCAGGTAACTACAGATCCAGTGAAGCGAGGTGCAAGACCGATCTTTAACAGGCAAACTCTGCCTACTGATGTTGTCTGAGTAGGCATGCTGTGATCCTGTCCTCATCACGCCCCTGGGAAGGTAGCACTGTCGAGGCTGTGTCCCCTACAAGGACTGTTGCCAGACACGATGGCCATACTAGGGAGGCAGAACACAGCTCATTCTTGATTCACGTTACTGAGATGTTACACACTATAGTCCACAGAAACTGAGCTGTAAGACTGCTTGCTGTAACGTGATTTCCTGACTCATTGTGGATTTAAAGTAATACATTAAAAAGACCCCTATACTTCTGAGTTATTTTCCATTTAAAATCAGTTTGTGTTGGGGAAAAGGTATTTATCATCACGACCATCAGGTTAAAGGGAAATATAGTGAGAAGATATATCTTGCCTTTTTTGCTCTGGTCCCAAGGGAGTTTCAGAATTGCTTCTATGACCACGTAGTTTTTGAAAGAATCATATGGAAGGCACCTAATAACCATTGAAAGTTAAGAAAATATGGGCAGCTAATTGCTTCTGGTGCTTTTGAAATTATCCACGTAAGGATAATAATAATACTGAAGCAAGATAGCTGTAAAAAGCAGGAATTGTTCAAATTTGCACCAATAACTGTCTTTAAGTCAAAATAACTGTGGATTGAAACTGTTGAAAGCATAAAACTTCCCAAATTAATTTTTTCCAGATTATATGTCTGGCAAAAAAGATATTTTTATGAACACTTTTTCTTCATTAGCTAAGATTTTGTGCACATCTCTTTTTCCATTGTCAAATTAAATGTGCTAATGCTACTTGCTCACTTAATCAACCAACCATCATATCAGCAGTTTGTTATCTTTCCTTCAGGCATTCTCATGTTCTTCTCTAGCTTTGAGATGTATCTGGAAGACTTTTAGGAATCGTTTTGTAATGTCAAAGAAAAAGAAGAGTAGAAAATGTTTGCAAATTGAGCTTGTATCTGAAAGACACTGGAATGCAGTTGGTAGGAATTTCTAGCTTTAAATCCTTTGCCTTGCCTGATAAAGAAAAAAAATGACCGATCTTGATCTATACATTGTAGAATGTGTCTTTTAAGGTAAGTACAGGATATATATGCACACGTACATCTGTAAATATCTATACACACACACACATATATAGATATACACACATGTTCATATGTATGTTTTTTAAGTGCTGCAGGAAATAGAACAGTGTAAGTAATAAAACAGAAAAGGAAGAGTTGAACACCATATTGTTGTTTCACCAGCTAAAAATATTACATTTTTGGATGGACAGGGAGTGCTGCACTGTCCTGGAGGGAAGGTCAGGTGTTTCCATGTGCCTGAGCTCCTCATTTTGTTATTTCTTTGGGATTTAAGCTAATCAATTCTACCTTGAAATGGGCAAGATAAGTGTGTGTTCATGGTCTGTTATTTCGGCTCTGCTGACACATGTAATGCTGCCGCAGCTCGCCTGTATTATATCATCTGTCTGGCTTCTGAGTGTGAGATACTGTGCAGTTCTCTGCAGTTCATTCATTGCCATCAGCTTTGAGCCCCAGGACTATGAAGGATTTAAACTACCTTTGCTCCAGTCTATAAATAGGCTACATCAGGGACTGCAGAGACACCAGGGAAAAATTAGATACATCTCGGCAGGCTCTCTAAAGTTGTACCAGACGCTGGGCTTTCCTGGGAACTTCAGTGTTAGACTCTGCTACTGTTTGTGCTGAAAATGCATACCCAGTATACCCCTTCAGCTCATGTGTTGGGCTTTTCCTCTCAGGAGACACCCCTACGGTTGTCCTTTGCATTAAGGGAATTTCCCATCTCATCCCATCCTCCCTTACAAATTTGCAGCCAAGAGACTTAGACCCTTGTCCACTTCCAACCCTTTATGAAGCGTAAATGTTGGAGGGCTGGTGAGGATCCTGTAATTCGGTCGAAAAAGCAACTTCAGTAGTGTTGGCATCATTCCTTAGTCACTCATCATCTTCATTCTGGGTTATAAATGAATTAAGCGCATGTTGCTATGAACGTAACAGTCCCCAATGGCATCACTTAAATCTAGCTGCCAGTTAAAGGAATGCAGGAACTGCCGAGCTGTGTCCGATGGCTGCGGGTCTGCCATTGCTGTCCTCCTGGGACAACGCTGCCCTTGAGAACACTACCAGGAATTTATATCATGGGACGTACGAATTCCCAGCTCATGCTGTGAAAACAAAGCTCTTTGCAACTAATCACACGAGCAAGGTGCAAAAGAAAGGTTAATCCAGTGGAACTATCAATGGATGCATATTTACAGAGCTGGAGACTAAAAGAGTAATCTGAGAGACAGTAAATTATTTCCCCCTCAAGTCCAGCAACTAAAGGCTTGTCTATGTCTGAAACATGACGCTTTCTATCCCATAACTCTGTTTAAATACTTGTGGGTTTTCCCCATTATTGGCCTGAATGAAAACCTATTTGAAGCAGTGGGAATCTCCAAAACATGCCAAAACATTTCTGCATCAAGACCTGAGTATCTTAACATCTAATTATTCTTTGAGTCTTACAGAGCCCAGCAAAACCTTTGTGGTAAAGAGCTGTAGAAATGTCTTTGTTCTTGTATTACAAAAAATCCCACATTATCTCCACCCCATCTATTAGGTTGGGGTTTTTTAACCATGATTTTTTAATATATTTTCTCTTTAAACTGTGTCCTCAGTATCTCCGTTCTTTATTTGCATAAATCCCCACAATGCCTCCAATATTTTTTCTCTAGCCTCTTCATAGCTTCTTCCATATTTTCTGTGAGAAAAAGTGACGAGAACACTCAGTGCCAACCAGAAATGCTGCTTCAGTTATACTGTGCCATTGTAGCACCACTATTATTTGTCATTTCCTTTTTTATTAATCTTAATATATGCCTTGTATTCAGTAAAGATACATGCTCGGTGCTTTATAAACCTCTTTTTGCTAGTGTTACTGCTGAATCTAGAATACCTGGAACATCTGTGTTTGTACAGAGCATGACAGCTATCAGTCAATACATGAATGACAGAAAAACAAAACAGTGAGTGAAGCAAACAGAACAACATTTATATTTAAGAGATCATCGTTCACAATCAGGTCTTTGTGTGAGCTTGCTGAAAAGTTCTGGAGAATGCCATTCCCTAAGCAAGATCAAGAGATATTCAAGAGCAAAGCACTGAGCCAGAAATATAGATGACGGAGGTACCGTCTGCACGGGGAGGAAGGAAGAGCTATTTATTCTTTGGGCTTCTTCCAGGCTTTTTTCTTTCTTTGCACTTAAGAGGATGCTAAGTAAGTGCGAATTTGACTACTGCTTACGGGAAGGAAACTGCACCCCGAGGAAGACTATGTGTTAGTATACAGAAGAAAATGTTTCTTTATAGCTATGTAAGCAAGCATGGCAACATACAAACAGGGTTCTTTTAATCTTTTTTACCTTTTTTCTTATACGGAGGAGCTCTGTTCATCCTCTCATAGCATTTGAACTGTGAATCTATTATCTTCTGTCGTATGACTGAATTTTCAGTTACTACAGGCTCTAATGTAGCATCAGTATAATTTACAGTAGAAGAAAGACTTGGAACCATTCTCTGTACAGAAAGGAAAAACTGTTAGTACAAGTGAATAAACCAGGAGGATAAAACAAAAAAGTGAGGAACAGAAATCTCTATTATGCATTCTTCAAAGGCCTTTTATTTGCACATATGTTTAGCATTATGATGGGCCTTATACTGATTGCAAACTAAATGCTGAATTTTTACTAGTTTACCTCACTATAAACACAGGATTTTAACCAAGCCCCTTTTCCTGGAAAAAGAGAGGACCATTAAATACTTGATAAAGTCTTCAAAACCTTTTCATTTAGTTTAGTGATCTGCAAAAAAATTTTGTATCTTCCAAAGTTACACCCATTTATTTCCACTTGCTTGTGTTGATTTCTCTCCAGACTGCCCAGACAAAATACCTCAGTGCCACAGCCTCGAAACTGATTATTCATGTTTTATGCCACCTGCTTTGAGCTCCTTCAACTGTTAAGGTCATAGAAACACAGGGCAGAGAGTTTAAACCTCAATACCTGGCCTTAGCTCCTAGTTAAGTACCTAAGCAAAGCGAGCCTAAATTTGAGCGTCTGAATAACAAAGTCCTCTTTGATCAAGTGGCTTCTTCTGACTTCTCTCACTCTGAGCTGCCTGAGGGTAAAAGGGAAGGATCATTGCCTCTGGAAGGCAAAAATCTCAGGTAGAGAGGTCAGCTATCTTTTTTTCCTTCCTTCCTTCCATCCATCCATCCATCCGTCTGTTGCACAGCCCAGGTCTGTGAGCCAGGGTGGAAATGGAAGTGTGGAGCTTTAGTTAATTCTGTTCTGCCTTAAGCCGATATCAGGACACTTCTCTGCATGAAGGTGATAGGAAAGGATTAGTTCCTCTGCTTCCCCAAGCAAAAGCAATGCGGCTGTCGTACTTTCCTTGCATGACCCTCTACTTTTTTCCTTTACTAAACCATACTAAAGCCATCACAAACACATACAGAGTCATTTACAGGCTGCTTCAAAACTTAGGACCCTCACAAACACACAGACTTGACGTTTTTAGCACCAAATACTAGTACACAGATCTTTAAGCAACCATTTGTAGTTGTTCAAATTGAAAACAAGACAGGTTTGAAAGTTCAAAAATCAGCTTACTTCTTAAATTGTTGCTTCCCTTTTTTTTTATTGCACTTCACAAGCAATTGTATCTCATTAATACATTATTTTCTTTTCCATTTGCACAGCTAAAACACCTTGGTAAAATACACAGCAAGACCACAGTATGTTTGACTTAGTTGAAAAAAAAAGGCACTACTTTATCCTGATTCTTCTGTGCCAAACCATCTCAGTTTAATCTTTTCATACTCATATACCTTGTTATTTTTTCCTAATTTAGTCTAATCTCTTTTGATACTAACATTTTCATTTTGAACTGTATATACATACTGTCTGAAGACTAGAGGACAGTGAAGGCAGTTTATCTCATTGCACTTAAATAGGTACTTGAAATAAAATGGGAGGAACAAGAAAGAAGATATTTTCTGGCAGATACAATTTTATATAAATTTTATGTGCATGTATACACACACGCACATACAGATATACTTGGACAGTGAAGCCATTTGGAACATTTCATCTGGCAATCCAAGTAAAAAATTAAGCATCTAGAAAGCCAGAACAGGAAACACAGAAGCAAAGCCAAACATATCACAGACCCCTCACTTATGAGAAGATTAAAGGGAGTAGCTGGA